TCAGTAATTATTATTTTTCTTTCAAATATTAACAGTTAATTTTAATTTATAGTAAATATTTGTATTATTATTGCTTACTATATTTGTATTAAGGTAAAAGTGTATAACTAATAATTAAGAAATAGTAAGATATGTTTAAWTAATTGTTAAAAAGAAAAGTACAATCATCAGTACAGTTATCGACAATACTGTTACTAACTTTTATAGTAATAATTTATATTTATTATTTTAAAATCAAATCAATTCACATAAATACATGTTATTTAAAATTATTTCATTTAATTAATAAGCTAATAGATTAAGTAAAAATTATTCTTTTATTTGCATTTTAGATTTGATGGTCAACATTTTATTTTTAATTCAAATATATTAAAATTGTATTTAATTAACACATGTCATACACATTTTATCAATGTAGCTATTGATTGGGAGATAAATAGGATGTATAGTGGATATGCCTTGGACCTAACTCATCAATATTATATAGCAGTAGCTTATAAATTATGGGTTATGTTATCATTGCATTAAAAATAAGACATTTTAATTTCTAAGATTTGAAAATGTAGTACTTATAGCAGTTATAGGTATTAAGGAATAACCTGTAGCTTTATCGTTTAAAAAATTACAATTCAAACAAAATTTGTATTATTTAATTTTATTATATTTACATTATCGTCTATATTATTTTATTATGTTACAATAATTATATAAAATTAATAAAAAATAAATTTGTGGGATGTAAAATTTTAATTTGTTGCATTGTGAAATTAATTTGTTATCTTATAAAATCAGAATCTCAAAAGTCTTAGTTTTGAATGCCTGCATTCTTTATTTGAATGAAGTGGTTATGACAATATAAATTATTATAATCCATGACAAATTTAAGGTGTATAGCTGGATTAGTAACATTTTAGTATTAAAGTTAATATCAAGATAATGTTAATCAAACTGAAACAAATGATTCAGAGGATTGGAWTGATTACATTTTAAAAGGTATCTTATGTATTTTATATTTAATTATTCTGCTTATTACTACATAATATATACATTAACATAGGCGCAAATAGTGTTTGAGATTTGGGGGGGGGACTAAAACCCAACTTTAATAATATTGAATAAGCTTTAAACAACAATTAGGAAATTTTTGGGGGCTCAGATCCTAAAGCCTCCCCCTCTATTTGCGCCTATGTATATTAAATAATGAAATAACATTAATACATAATTATATCATGTATTAAATGTTTAAGTTACCATATACAACCATAAAAAACCCTAATAAATAGTCATTGATTATATGTCACTGTAAGCACCACAGTCTTATATAATACCACGATAACCATTAAACTATAATGTAAGTATTGTAAGTGTTAAATTTAAATTCAATGATAAATTAACATATATGAAAACAGAGGCGCCGACTTTTAGATATTAGCACAGGTGCAAACTCTTCTATTAAATGAAAAAAAATTCTATAGTATGCTGTAGTTTGCTTACCGGGAGRAGTAATTACCAAATTGTCCCTTAACTCTATCCTTTACTCCTCTAGGGTGCTATAAATATATTTGTTTATAATTTATAAATAATATTATTTGAATTGAAAATTTTTAGTTTATATACTATAATGGTAATAAAATCACTATAGTCACTATATTTCGGGAAAAATTAAAATGGCAGATGTATTTTTAGACAAAATATAAAACCAAATAGTAGTGAGCGTCRAGCGATCTATAGTATTTATAGATCATATTTAGGTAATATACAAATATACAATCGTTGATGTTCTAATGAATATTTTCATGTTATAATCTGGTATTTTAACCAAATAATTATTATTGTACACAACGGG